AATCAATAATTTTGAACATATAGCATACTGAATCATCTTTTTTCACTGAAATATAATTTTAACACTATCTAATATTCAGTGAGAACCAACAAAAATTAGTCTGTAAAATAATATAGAACTGAGGTTGTACAGCTAGCCTCCTTCCGGACTCTGCCACCAACCAGTTGGCTGATCTTGGGCAATTTATTCTTCTAAGCCTTTGTTTCTTCAATTCCTAATATAGATGATAATGGTAATTCCAGTATGCATTACATAGATGTTAAACATAAAGTGACAGCACATAGCAGGTATTCAATAATGGTTATTTATAAAATCACCTCTTGGAATGGTGAGCTTTGGCACAAAAAGACAAAGCTACAGTTATATCAAGTATATGGCAACTGCTACATTATTTTAAGATAATTTATCTTTGTGCCTGTTCCTTAACAGACTGGTTTCACTGAGGACAGGGATTCTGTCACAGTCAATAACCCAGAACCCAGGATGTTGCCTGGCATAAAGATCTTCAATAAGTATTACTAAATTGAATGTGGCTGAGAAATAAAACCTAGAGAGAGAAGGTACTAGCTTTGTCACATTCTGGCTTCTTAATAATATCAGACTCTTCTGAAAGTTCACCAGATCCCCATCTGGGAAAACTAACGGGCCTAATGCAGGGTGCAGGTTGAACTATGGAGCTGACAATGTGTTAAGTACCAGACAACACCCAGGAGTTTAACTCTTTGGGTGAATTCTTGGTTTTTCCACTTTATAGGAATTTACAGTCATCAGTTGCTGGATCTTTTGGCTAAAGTTGAGTCAGGACAACATTGCATGCTGGACAAGAGCCTGAAATTAGTCTAGGAAGTAAGGGATGGCCACCAAAGGCAGTTCAGGCCATGAACTCTGTATCTGATTCATCACAAGAGATGAAATGTCAGCAACTCTAACCACTGCCAGCCCAGCTCTGAATTCATAGATGTATTACTCATCCTATTCTTTTTTACTATTCAGCAAGCACATTCTTTTTAAAAAAATTCAAAATCCTTAATATTTTCATTGGACTTATGAATGACTAATAATCTCATTGCATTTATTTTAAATGGGCTTCCAAATCACTGATTATACTGGGATTCTTCATGTCACTTTTTGAAAGGGCACTGCAAGTTTTCACTGTATCGACCATATTATACATCATTTTCTGCCAATATTACTATCTTATTTTTCAATTTTAATAAATTAATTTCACTGTTTCATAACATAGAGGAAAAGTACTCTACAGGTAGTTCTGTAAAAAGAGCAACTCCATGAGTTTCCAAACTGCAAGCTATTTAATAGTTTCCATTTGGTAATTATAGAGATTTATATCCTCCTCATCTCCCACAAAATTCAGAGCTGATCTGTCCAGTTGACTTAGAAACTGACTTAGAGGTCTCCACATTCATTATTTTTGACAAAAAGCCGTTAGATTAGGTTAATTATTTAAGACTAGTATATGCTTGGGAATGGAAGAAAGAGGCTCAAAATTAATTTATAGGAATATAATCCACTGGTCATATTCATGTTTCATCAAGAAGTATTTTAGAAGATATCTCAATACTAATTGATCACATCAAGGTGGCAAAATGTACTGTTCTTGCTTTACTAAGAAGGAAGTTCTTCATCTCTTAGGTTCAGATTTTTACTATAACCTGACAGTTTATCATTTATCAAGAAATTACATCATCTGAAAGTTATAAAGAATACTGGCATACAGATGCATCTGATGTTACAAATCTAAAAGATGCTATTTATATTAATATTGCATAGGATTATGTCCTCTCCTGGGCATCCTTTTCAATATCTCATAATATTCAACTACAAAAATAAATTTATTTTTAACTCCTTCATAAGCCATTGAAAAAAAAGCAATTAATAGTTTTACATTATATAAACAACATACAACATGTACCTTTTTAGATCTTTGTACATAATAATTAGAATTTTGAAAGTTCTAGTTATTTCAATGTTTCTTGTTTTGTGTTTTAAATAAATGAGGTAAATGTGAAACAAAATTAGCAGAACTGTCAACTTTAGTAAGATTATACTGTTTAATTCTAGAGTTGTTGTCATATGTTATTTGTAGAATTTTATATCAATATTTTAGTTAACTTGCATTGTCTAATTATCAATAACCTAAATCAAGTGAATTTCCTTTTGTTTTATAGGATAATTCTATATTATATAAATACCAATTAAAATGTATTTTTTACCATCGGTTTGAAAATATTTTCAAAAAGTAAACTCATTAAATTAGCTTTCTTTCTAATCATTGATGCAATTACCATTATTTTATGACTAACATTTCATTTATATCAAAATATTTTAAATTTCTTTTCCTAGTATTAATGAATATAAAGCAAGCATACATCATAATAATGGAATTACAATAATAGTAATATAAATTTTAATTTGCCATTGATCCTGTTTAACAAGTACATATTTATATTAAAGAAATACTTCTGGGATTCAAACCTTTTTATGCACATTCATTTATTCCATGTTATGCTACTGTGCGCTAAAGGCCCTGTGCTACGCTGAACCTCTTCTTCCTCCTGCTTTCAGGAGATCTGTGGAGAATAAGAATTGCACACAAACAGCTCGCAACATCAGGTAGGAAGGTCACATCAATAAACAACCTATGCATTTAAGGCAGATATAGAGAGGCTACTTCTCTTAATGCAAGGTTACTTCCAAGCATTAGTACTTCAGTTTTTCAAATGAAAGTAAATAAGAGACACTTTCTGAGAACATTCTAGCACTTAAGAGAGGGAGAAAAAAAATGAAATCAGGAGAAAAATGAACATAAAATTTAGGTCACAGCTAAATTAGTATTTCCTCTGTGGGTTTTCCTTTACCAATTGCTTTTATGCATGTTCACATATAAGTATTTAGTCTAAATGCATTGAAAATCTTGCTTTTTCCACTGATATTGCAATAACAGAAATGAACTGCCCTGCATCAGGGTCTAAGCTATTTTAAAGCAAGGGGGAGGTTGTGGGACCTTTGTACCCAACAGCACATCATTCTGATTTGATTCTTAAGTCATATGTGATATACTTTTCCACAATGCCCTTGATTTCTGCTTTTTTTCAGAAGTCTATATCTCTGCAACATGTAAAGTAGATGCTTAAGGCATATGTAGCTCTACCATTTGCATTTTTTTATAATGTGTGAACATGAGGACTTCTTGTTCTCAACTCATCCTAAATAAATTTGCCTGAGAGGACTAATTAGGACCTCCCATACTGAACTTGGAGCTCTGTTCACACCATCTGTGTGTTCATCATCATAGTCTTTTATCTATGCCAATCATATGTTGTATATGGGAAGTTAAAAGGCAAGAAATTACAAGTTGCATTTCTTTACTGACCTAAGAACCAGAAACTATAGCTATTTCTTCCTTTTTATAGTCTCCTAGAATCATTGTTTTCTTCACTATTTTTGTTAAATGTTGCTAGAAAAGAATATAAAGACCCTGTATTGCATACCTTGGCATTTCTCAAATTACTAATATATGTGCTCAATAAGCCTTTTTATCCTCTCGTTCCTGCATCTTCATCCCCTTTCTCTTCCCTTACTCTAAGCCCTAAGCAAATAAACCTGTTCTTTATCTAAACTAAGGAGAACCCTTTATTTTCTTCTCATCTTTATAGCCAAATTGTTTGAAAATGGAGTCCCTACATTCTTTTTAAAAAATCTTGAAGCCATTTTATTTTTTTAAATTAATATAGTGGCTATACAATATTATATTGGTTTCAGCTATACAATAAAATGGTTCCACAGCCATATACATTACTATATGCTCACCACAGTAAGTGTAGTCACCATCTATCAACATTCAAAGATATTACAATATGATAATTATATTTCCTTAATCATATTAATTATATGCTGTACTTTTGTCTCTATGAATAATTTATTTTATAATTGGATGTTCATATCTCCTTATTCACCCATCTCATTCTATTTTCCTCATCTCCCATAGCCTCCTTTAGGTCTCCAGTCTATCTCCATTTCTTTGCATCTAATTCACTCTTGAAGCCACGGTGATCCAGGGCTGTCTAGTTTGGACACTGAAAATCCCATAACCTAGGAAAACCTTCTGCCCTAGAAAAACTGGGACAGTTGGTCACCTTAATGTCTTCTCCTTCAATAATCTTCACTTCCAGTCACTCTTCCAATTCTAAGAGTTAAACCTCCTGTCTGCAGTCCATTCTCTTCTTTTTATTCTCAGGCAATCTTAGTTCAAATTCTCATCTGCTCATAGCCTGTTATAATAGTCTTTCTATGAAACGGACCCCCTAACCCTACTATCAAGTTAGCCTCTAGCCAAATCTGATTATGTTACCCCATTTCCTTAACACTAATACATTCTGCAGCTGCTTCATGATCTTGTCCTTGTCTGTCTGTATATTTTTTTGTCTGTCATTTCTTCCTTCTTTCATAAACTCAATCCATACATATAAATACCCCCCAGAAAATACCATTGCAGCCTCATGCTTCTACTGCTCTGTACATGCAAAGCCCTTTCCTGGAGTCCTCCTCTTGGGTACCATCCACACTGCCAGGCAGATGACGTTTCTCCTTGCTTTTCCCCTGTACCTTGCATATTCTTTCACTTAAACACATACCTCATTGCATTAAAATACTCTCATTTCTCCTTCCTTGCCAAACTTCAAGGTCGTTAGGCAGAGGCACTATGTTGTCCCCTTTTCATATTCCCAGCACCAGCAGAGTTTCTATCTCAGTATTTAGTTGTTGAATTAATGTTTAATGAAGTACTGAAATTATTTTTATAGTCCTTAATTTAGGGGTAGATAAGAATACATAAGCAGGACACTTGTAAACACAAACTTATTACCATTCTTTTACCCTACATGCATTTGCGCAATTCCTTTATAAGCTGAACCCAATACCTGAAGGGTGACTAAGACTGATGAGACATCAAAACTTAGAAGAGTTGATAGATATTTGCTTACCGTTCTTGCATCCCACACAGACAGGGTTTTATCTGCTGAGCCTGTGAGAAGAATGTTGGAGCAAGGAAAAAACTCAATGCTGTTTACGGAATCTGTGTGTCCGTACAAAGTACACCTGCATCTTTCACTGTATAGAGAGAAATTAAGAGTTAAAGTTTTAGGAGTTAGCACCTAAATGTTTCTTATGCTGTCTATGCAATGCAAATAGAGATAATATAAGTATCTGAGGCACAGAATAGTTTCATAAATGGCAAAAACATATAAGAACATATAAAAACAACAACAATAAAAGGAAAAATCTATAGCTATCTTGTATTTTAAACACTTACAGAATTAGTAGCATCAAATTCACCAAATTTAAATTACCTTCAATTTATGAAGTTACTTGGTGTCTTGCCAATGGGTTTCAGCCCTGGGCAAGTTCACTATGGATTCAATGAGACCAAAGAAATGACAGTAGAACGTTCTTGGTGTGAAAGGATTATACCCAACTTTATTCCATGGTGGCGGTGGCAGGTCAATCACTAGAATCCCATCCCCTCAGAGCGAGTCTGCATGCAGCAGGCCAGTCTCTGCCTCTGGGCCTCTCTTCCTGCACAGCTGTCTTCTGGGCATCTCTGCCCACACAACTGTCCCTGTCCGAGTCTCTGTCCTCGGTGCAGCCACCACTCCAGCCTCTGCTCCGCTCTCCCGCTGCCTTGCAGCAATGCCACTGTATCTCCCAGAGCACAGGGCAGAGCTCTTTATATAGAGTCAGTAACAATGTATTGCCCACACATGTGTAGTGAGCTAGCCAACCAGGGCCAGGTGAGGATCCTGGATACAGGAACGTTCATTTTATCCACACTCAGTAAAGCTGTTTTTATATTATCTCATTTATTCCTTATCATGAAATGACTATATAAAAATTGTCCTCATCTAAGAATATGCTAAGAAAAGATATCATTTCACTAACATGTAAGACCAGGTAAACTTCTTGAGTCACTTTTTGCTTGGCCTTGGCTGTATATTAGAATCACCTGAGTTACTTTTGGCACATGCCCAGGCTCAAGCCCCAGATGTTATATTTCAGTTGGTCTGGGAAGGAGCCTGAGCATTAATGGGAATCATTCATTCCCTTGGCACCTATAACTTGCTTTTAGGAATGAGTTGAAATCAGTGGATCTCACACTGTTTTACCCAGACAAGCAGCAGCAGTCACTTGGAAACATGTCAGAAATGTATTTTCAGTCCTCTCCTAAACCCACTAAATCAGAAACTCTGGGGCTGGTTCCCAACAACCTAGTTTTAACCAGCACACCAGGTAATTTGGATGAATGGTGAAATCTGAGAATCACTGATCTAAACTATTAGAAATAACTGAGAAGGAAAGACAACTGCAGTTTTGCCTTTTGTCATTTTATGAAAAGGTTATTTCTTAATGAAACTTATTTTAAAAATAGAAAAAGAATAGATGCAGATAACTAACAATGCTGAGAAGAGGGGAGTTATTATAATTAAATCCCAGTATGATAACCCATTAGTTAAGATCTGATTAATTGGTTCCTCAGTGGCTTGAGCTATGCTTTCTGCCTGAGGATTTCAGCCCTGGGCAAGTTCACTCTGGATTCAGTGACACTGAAGAATGACAACAGAACATTTCAGGTGAAAGGGTCTACACCCAGCTTTATTCTTGTGGTGGCAGGTCAAGTGCTAGAATCCTGACCACTTTAGGGCAACGTGCATGTGGCAAGCTGGTCTCTGCCTATTCTCCCACCTCACTGCCCTGCCATGCCATAGTCCTGCAGCCCCAGAGCACTGGGCAGAGCTATTTATATAGAGAGAGTTAATAATGGCTTATTTCCCACATGTGTGCAACCCTGCACCTGTGAGCATTGCATGGGCTCAGTGGGCAAGCAGACCAGGGTCAGGTGAGAATCCTGGCCATGGAACTCCCATTTTCTCTACACATGCCATGTACAATAGTATGGTGCAGTGGGAAAACCTGTGCAACAGGAGCTAGGACACTGAATTCCAGTCCTAACTTTGACAAGAACTACCAGGGTAACCATAGGCAAGTTATTTAATCTCAAAAGCAGTAGATTTCTTTCTTGTGAGTATAAGATTACTTAATTTGATACACTGAGAATCAATCCAGCTCCTATGTTTGGAGATTCTTTGACCAAAGTTGTAAACGTATAAAGGAAAGAAGTGAAATCAAACTGAGCACAGAACCCAAGAACTGTTTGGACCAAAGTTTATTCCTCCTTGTTTAAATTTTGGCATTTTTGAGAAGTCAGATATTAAGATTTGTGTGTTTAAGAATATGTATATAACTTAGCAATACTCACTTGATTAAGTCTTTCTATATCAAAGGTAAGTATTGCTGTAATATGAGGAACAAATAATTATGATAAATGAATTTATTAATTAGGACCATTTTCTATTGTTCCCTTTATCTCAATATTTCTGAAAGAGGCTGATAATATTTTGAGCATTGAAGTTGCTATGTCCATATATATCAGAGATCAACATACCATAGACCATGGGCTGGCTGCTTTTTTAAAATAAATAATGTTTTATTGGAACACATAAATTTTTTTACACATGTCTATTATTGCTTTCCAACTATAACAGCAGAATTGCATGGTTATAAGAGAGACCATATGGTTCACAAGCCTAAAGTACTTAATTATCTAGTCCTTTAAGAAAATATATTTGGATATTTATAAGTATGCTTAGAGTTTTTTTAGGTGGATGCTAAAACTTATGGGATAAATTATTTTATTTTGTTTTTAAACAATTACTGTTTCATAGAAATTTAACATATTTTCTAATAATTCTCAAAATATAAGTTAAAAAATGTCTTTAAAGGTTTATATTCTAAAGCCCACTATATTGAATTAATCATTTTTAGCTATTAGAATAATTGTTCCAATATAGTTGTATGGAGAGACAAAAAGAAAGAGATATTTTACAGAAATGAGAATTACATATCTCTTGTATTAAAATAGTAATTTATTAAATTAAATTATATAAGATTTCACTATAACAAAATTATATAGGATTTAAAAATAATAGAACAGGTAGAATTAAAGGCATTGATGAAGTCAAGTAAATATTTTATTTTTATGAGAGAACATTCTCTAAGTGATATCCCAGCATTAAGAAAATATTAAAATTGAGTACATTATTTTAACCATATTTTCATTTATAGAAAGAAATTAACACATTTATAATTTCTCCTACTTTCAATCACAATATTTTGTAATTATATTGTTAAGCTTACAATGTCAAAAATTATAACATGTATTTAATCAGTCATAACAAATCCCGTAATTGCTTAGTGTCACATCCCTCCCACCCTCCCTAGTGCTCACTTACTATCTATTTAAGTTAATCCTCTGCACCCATACTGTTACATATTTCCTTGAGTATTCAGTACTTCAAGAGTAATTTTAGCTGGCCATAGTATTTTGAGTTGTCTGTTCTCATGTTTGTGGAGAAACCTTTCATTGTCTTGTACCACAGGCAAAGTCTGAGTACAGTCTAATCTCTTCTCTCTTCTCCACCCAATTTCCTTTGTGGATGATTTGCTTTTTATGCCCAATAACCCTTATAGTTCTTCTAAAAACAGTGAAATTTAGAAATTTCAGCAAGGCATGACTTGATAGGAATTTCTATCTATTGTTCTTAGAGTTTTGTTATTCTAGGAAAGTTTCTTCTACTATATCTTTGTTTTTTTCTTCCATTTATTTCACTATTTTCTCTTTAGCAACATTCACTATATTTTCTCATTTGCCTCTACATTTACCATTTTCTCTATATCCCTTATATCTTTCTTTATTTTTTCATTTTCCACACCGGTTCTTTATATTTTATTTGTATGTGGGGGAGGGGGAGTGATCAAAAGTTTTTACTTATGTTTTCTATTTCATTTATAAACTGATATTTTTCAGTCTGATATTTCCTTTTCATCTGTATCACTTGTCTTATAAAGTCATCATGTAATACATTAGCTCTTTCAATGTTTTATTATATTTTATAAAATCAATTTTAAAATAATATTTCTGTAATTTCTTTGGAAATATAGTGTTTTTGTCTGAATTATTGATAATTTTATTTAGGTAATTCTTTATGCAGTGTATGTTCTTCAGTGGAATTTGGTTTATAGTAATTTATTCTTCAATTTTTGCAATTCTTTATAAGGTCTGGGCTGGTTTCTGTTTATTAAGACTTTGTATGGGATAGCTATTTGCTGAAGGTTAATAGCAGAAGAAGGAAAATTTGATTTAGGTTATCTCTAATTTCTAATCAGACTTGTTGTTTTCCACAAAGACGTCTTATCAAGTGTGTACTGGCTGGATACCTGAAATTCATCTCCTTTTTGTATTTAAAAGTATAGATGCAAAACCTCTTAAGTCACAGGCTCTATTTTAACTTTAAAGGCTCCTGCTTCCCTTCATCCTCAACCTGCCTCACCTATGACGGTCTCTATTATCTTCTTTATCTAACAATAAAAATGTCTTGTTAGGGTTTGTTTCCAACCATGATAGAGTAACTAGTACTGTACTGCTCCATAAATGATTATATTTATTGAGCACCCCACCCTCAATAAATGAATACAAAATTTCACAAATATTATGACACCTCTTTTCTGGAATTGAGCTAAACATAGCACAGTATAGTAATCCTTGAGCAAAGGAAAAACTCAACATGAGCTCCATGTAGAATTGAAGTCTTGAGCAAGGGGCAGTGAGAAGATTCTGGGTGGCAGATAGGACTGGAATCCGCCAAGTGGGACACCTGGGAAAGGGCGCTATTGTGGGAATGGCAGGAGTTTGTGTGGGATTGCTATGCAGTATTGGCCATGGTCTAGATGGCACTTCTACATAGTAAGACTCTATAAAGCCTAGCAGAGATTTCCTGCCCTGTGGTTGAGAGCTGAACAGTGATACCAAAAACCAAAACTGCTGGAAGACATTGCACTTCCAGAGAGGAGAGAACTCTCTGGGTACCTCAGACTTTCAGGTGGGACTCCAGAAAGGCCCCACCATAGAAGTAAGGGTCACATTCAAGAAGTAAGTTCAAAATCAAAGTATACTTGTCTGGATGAAAAATAAAACAAAGCCTGAAAGAGTAAAAATG